TCGCCATTCCACAACATGCAAGTTGCGAAGCCTTTCCAGAGACGTCTTGCGTATATCGATTTACATTTAGTTTGGATTATTTTAATAGGAAAATGACCAGTATACTACGGAACCCATCTATTCGAACCAAGCAGCGCATAAGTTCGACTGAAAGTTGTGATGAAACATTTCGCTCCTAAGTAGAGGACTGCACCTCCTTTAATCAATAATATGTGAAGATATTGGTAGCCTGGGTGAATTAATTGACTGTCCCCCAAGCTAACCGCAGACTAGCTGCCAATATCGACGAACAGATCAGCAGCCACCCGATTAAAAACCAATGTTCTTGTTTGTCTACGTGGTTTACTTGAGCCTACTACGAAAGAAATTACTTCTGCCGCTCCAGATACCCGCTTAAGTGAGGAAATCTAAGCGAGTAAGATTGCTTATTTGAATATGGCCGAGGTAGTTTTCCTGAGTGATGATATTCGTCTTGCTTTTGTGGAAAAACAACATCAATCTGTACCACGAAATGCCTTCTATGTTTTCTGGGATGGTGTTGAAGCCTCATACTTGGCTTAACTAGAGCGATGACAAACGTATGACATCGAGGCCAGCTTCGAGAATTTGGACTGTTGGAGCAGCAGGTAATATTTAGAACTTGAGCAGGTACTTAACTATTTCTGGTGAGGATCCCGGGCATCACCCGTACGAATTGTCCCCACAGCCTCACTGACCTGTGTTTTTATTTTACATCCACTTGAATACGGCTGTTTCACAGCCTTCACACTAAGTAAGATGTTTTGGGCTTGCATAGAGTTTTAACCAGAACTGTGTTGTACACCAGTCAACTTCAGTTTACTCTATGTTTCCGGGCACAAGTTTCCACTTAATCATCCAGATAAATAAATTTCGCCTTATCAGATATTCTTCAGTTTTACAATCACCATAAAATGATCACTGTTGTACGTTTCCTTGTGCTACTGTTTCACTTTTGTGAGCTAGAATGGTTAATCCGGACCGATCCTGTGCTTTATAAACCACCAAATGATGGAACTTAAGTATACATTGTTAGAGTTGATGATATGGGTTGGAGGGGGCTGCATATTATCATCAGTCCCAAAGCCGTCTTAGTTTACAACCATGATCCTTTGCAAATAATGTTGAATCATCTTCCCTGTTACCGAACGGGCTTAACAGTAAAGCTGTGATGAGACCTAGAAACTCGCTCTTCATGTGATTGGAGTTGCGAGGGCTGGGTTATCTTATTTCAGTTCCAAACCTCCTGTCATATCCCAGCAACATGAAAATACAAAATGTTCGACTGTTCTGAAGAACGCGGCAAATTCTCGGATCCCACTTAGCGTTGTTAATTCACCCGTTTTTGAAGGTTAGAAAGGTAGCCGAAAGGGACACTGTTCGGGGGGAACTGATCTACTCTGTACGCCTGTCCTGCCGATTACACTGCCTTAGCAGTAAATTATTTCAATGTGAAAGCACCAAGTGAATAGTTTAGCCCAGTCACGGCATGTTCAGTCGGAGATATGCCTTAATCAACCTGAGGCTATTTGCGTATTCGTTTTTCATGTGAGATATAGGAGTTCTCGTTACGTCCTCAGTGCATGCACACGAATTATCATATGAGCCAGAAATGGCTCACGTGTCTGCACCGATATGCGGCTATGCGGGTCGGCAACGTAAGAAGACGTGGAGCTCCAAGTGCGTCTAAATTTATGATCAAAAATAAGCATTAAAGGTTTATCGTAAAACTTCCATTAGGTTGTGTATAAATGGTCAGAATGATAACCAGTGGTTGAATTTATTTGAGATAAATGGCTGATTGAATTTTCGCGTGCGAAAAAACGCCCACTTTTTTGTATTCCATTGAAGCACACAGGCCTGTTTGACGAGAGATTTCTAATGCTCATTTCAATCCCCACGAAGAGCCTTGAAAGGTATTCACAAGCACGTATTTCGTGTTTACTCCAGTCCCATGTCCAGTTCCTCTGTCTGTTAGTTAGGGCTAAGTAAACTGGTTCCACCTGCATCCATCGAATCCTTGAGCAAACAAACATAACACTTTGAGATATGACGTTGGGAACTGGTGCAAATTCAGTATAATTTCTAAACTCAAGAGAATTTGCTCATCGTCAAGGAACTGAATAGGAAATTAACAAAGGAATCATCTAAACTTTTATATAGTTATTTTCTTGGAGGAAACTACTAATGAGGTTGCTGAAATCTGCAACAACCCAATCGGTTTCACCTTCTTGGGGCTCATCAGGTATTGAGCAGAAATAGAAAGGAATACCATGAAATGTCATAATCAAAGGATTAAACGATTTTGTGGGTTAAATAATACTGATTTCTACAAATTATTTCACGAAATGGGCTTATGTTTGGGTAGTCTGAACAAGTAGTAACGTTGGTCGGAATCAAAGTTTCTCCAATCGGTTGAGCTGACTGGTTTACAAACTACAATTAACAATAGAGGAAGATGTTCCTTTTCTACATAGACTGCACTAGGAAAAACTTTTCGAAGGACAGGTAGCCTCCTTTAAATTACCTTCAGAGGTGACAATTTCTTAGAATGGACCAAGTCGGCGGGTCCCCTCATGGCGTTTGCATCTAAGAGGGCATCATCACCCCTGGGGAAATATGGGGCCTCTAGCTGCACATACGAGAAACGAAATTTAACTTTGTGAGTTATTGTTTACGGTGAAAGATGTCTTAAAATCAACTAACCAGACTGTTCAAAGACTTAAGAGATAACAATGAAAATTAGGGGTTCTTGAAGTCTCCGATTCATGGGATATATTGATCTAAACGACGTTTCCCAACACACTGAGCACTGATGCAAAGAGCGAACCTGTCCCATTATTTGTAAGTCTTCCTGCGGGGCATCCACACAGAAAAGAATTTGTACGCTACATCCAAATATCACACTTCAAGGAAAAATAGTGCGTATATTGGTGGAAGTTGCAACTCTCCGAGTTCATATGTAGTTCATGGTTACCCCTCAACTGATAAGGGCATCACTATATATGTGCATCCACTTTGAGAAATAAAAGAAATGGCAATTCTAAAGCAGGAAGTAGCTTTCACTGTTGGTCAAGGGTGGCTTCAGTTAATGTTTACATGACTGGATCATCCTAACTGTATTGTATTTAATTAGGAAAACCGAACACGGAACTGCAAATCTCACCGATTGAGTGACCTGTTACCTAATCGACACTCTGGGCTAAAATAGCTGGTTAGATGAAGAAGAATAGGGTGACTTCATCAGAATTCTGCTCAATATATATGGTTGTTTATTCACTGTCATAATCCATTTTAATTGAGATCAAGTTGTGAATGGGAGGAGTTACTCGACACATTGGAGCCCTTTCTAGAGTTTTCAAACGATGGAACCCAAAGCAAAGTAGCTGTTTACCTAAGAGCGGTAACTTTTTCCCTGAGGTGTTTGACGAACAATAGTACAATCTGAAATTTATGTAGCAGTGCGATTATTGGAATAGGCGAAAGGGAATAAAGTTTCTTGAAAAACCTTCACATAACATCAGAAGTGCTGCTGATTGCTCAATCACAATCTGAGTGAACAACATTCTTGTTTCTACTTTCAGATAAGAAGCAGTCTACAGCGTCGAAAAAGAAGTGATGTCACGAGAAAATCCAAAATCTGACCAACATTTGCTTCCAACTTGTCCCATAAAAATAAGCGTCCCACATGCTGTCCTCAGGAACCATCGGGGGCAAGGTACCTATTACGTGTACACCATTCAAATCAAGATCGTGCCTCCTTCACAGTTTACTGCAGCAGATCAGTCAGACACAATTTCTGACTGTAAGTGGAGTGTTGAGCATCGATACACAACACTCGCCGAACTACACGAGGATCTACTAGGCTACAATGACGACCTGACCCGAAACAGAAAAAGAATTAGTGGTAGCGACCATGAAGAACGGTATCTCGCACACCCATGTCTCCCGCGCCCCTTTCCTTGTCTCGAAGATATACCGTTCCCGCGAAGACGACTGCTGCCAACCATCCATCCCCCTTCTGTTTATCCTTGGCTGAACTGTGTGCGGGCGATCTCGGACAAGAGAGATAAGCCAGTCCTTCCTGGTCAATCCAAACGAGTTGATCAACGTAGAAATGCTCTGGAGACCTACTTGAACGAACTAGTTACCTTGATTTGGACGACAGTTCAAACAACGGAGGTTGCAAATATAGTGCATTCCATAGTTTTACGTGATCTTCCACAGGAATCATGTGGGGTAGATCAGTGGAAATGTCTAATGAATGCACAGGAAATCCAATGCTGGTTGACTACCCTTCTTCCAATATTCTCAAAGTCCAAATTCGATAAAATCAACTAATCTGACCTGTTGTTTTTTAATCTTTTGGTCTACCTGATTTCACTGTTCAGAATTTTTGTACCAAAGGACAAAGAACTATATTTTATGACAGTTATGTTCCGTCTCAGTCCAGTTGGACAACGGAATGGAAAAAGAAAACGAGCGAAAAATCACTATTCCAAAAGCACTTTCTTTTAAAAAAGGCAGGAAAATTTCACTTATATCAGATTTTCCCGCAGATTTCGGTTTTAGGGGATCCAATACAAAAAGTTACAAACAGTTCAAACCAGTCTAAATAGATACACATTTATTCTTCCTATAATCCACAATCCTGTTCACTTGTCAGTGGATTAGGAATAGGTTCACCTATTAGAAAGCGTCCGTACGATAGGAAGTGTACAAGTATAACTGCACGTACGCGGAATGTTTTTCTTGGCACAGAATACAATATATGGTCCCCACTATCAGTTTTTACAAGACCTCGTTCTGGCAAGAGGTAAACTCCTGCCGTAAGATAAGGTGGAGGCACGCTCGCGGAGAAGAGTATTATTTGGGATTCTGGGGGAATTCAGTAGTAAATTTTTGCGCGAAGTTATTAAAATTAAGAAGTTACTGCTGTAAATTTCTTAAAGAGATGATCTCACCATGCTAAACCGGGTAGTCGAAAATCAATGGATTGTGGATAAACAGTGGACCGGGACCTTACAGGCTGAGGTTTCAGTTTCATGTTCGTCCAATTTTGCCCATACTCACTAATAACTGTCAAAGAAGAAAAAGGATACAAGTCTAGACAACCATTCTCGGATGTCAAAAGAAGCTCCAACACCTGCAAGACTAATTTACTTTAAATATATCTACTGATGCCTTACATAAGTAAACACGGGTATGAACCACTACACGCACACCGAGTCCTAGCTGCGTATGTTGAATTCCACTCCTGTAGTGCTTGCTTCACCAGTTCAGAGAGCACGGCATGCTGTTCAAAAACATCGGCCTACCATTGTGAAGTAGCTCACGTGGCGGATGAAAGGCCTGACCACAGCGATGGCATGTCTTCACTGAGTCTTCGGATTAGTCCCATCAAATTCCTGGAATGACCCTTATAGGATGGGTTCTTATTTCCCTGAGGGCACTGACTAAATTAAATTGATCCATCTGCACTGGTCCTTTAGAGCGTGAACAAAGTCCATACGTGATAATTCAGGTGTGTCTAGTGTGGGCTGGTGGTAACACGCTCATCCCACATATCATATACTCGAAGTTCAAAGTCCGGCACGGCCAAGGGAATGCACTGCTGAGAAGCCATAATAAGAACGAAACTCGAGTCCAGTGCTTTTTCCTTTGGTGTAGAGCAACCAGAATGACCGCGTAAGGATAGCAGGATGGCTGTTCAACACAGGGATTTGAACGCGAATTCCACAAATCCCGCAATCATCGACAAGTATTCCAAAAGCGTGTTTGTATACGTTGTGTCGTAGTTTGACGCACGGACATACCAACAGGCACGTCGTTCGCTCAACTGTTACACCCCTAGGGTGCTTAGCTGCCATACCACCCGAAGGAAGTCGACAGGCATGTGAAACATGAAGGTTCGGTTCGGATGTTTGTCATGTAATCCAGGGTTCTGGTGACATGCGAACAACTGTATTAGGAGAATCACCGAAAAATTTGGGAACAAATGAACTAAGTAGTACGTTGAGCCAAACATTTGTGTAGTGATAACAGCAGTGAGCTGAAAACACGATCCGTCCCTAGCTCCCATGCCCGAGCACCACAGGTATGCAAGCGTCGGTGACCTGACGAGTGTGTGTGAGTGCTGGACCTGTCCATATGGCTTCAACTTGTCCACTCTCATCACAGATGATACAGTCGGGAGGACCTAGGTGCACATTTGATGGAACTCAGTAAAAATTAAACCCTTCAATAGGTGTAAGGAGCGCGATCATTGAGATCTGTTTGGTGGTTTGTTGCTGCTAAACAGTCCTGGGAGCAGCCGAATTTTGTACACGCTATTATAATCACATATCAAGGCGTGTTGCTGATGACCAGAACACTAGGGCATAAAAACAGCCGTTTGGTTATGGGAATATGGCCCTTGCTCCTTGAGAGGAGGTAAGCACATTATCATCACGCTGAATGGCACCATAGGTACGAATGCTGTAGGGTAAGTAGACCATCGCGCTAAAAAACGGGCGGTTTGGTCCATTTTGAATCATTAAAAGCTCAAAGTAGTTCGTACAGCCATTGCTATGTGGGAATTCGGCTAGCTAGGCCAATTGCGGATTTCTTCGGCATTGTAGATGCAAATAGTTCGTGTGGCTATAAAGAGGCCCCACATGGCGTATCAGGGACTTTTAAGATATTGACAGTTACCTTGCAGTCAACCAATCTGTATTGAAACTGGACAGTATAGACAAGCAGTGTGCGATGGATGTTCATATGGTCGACAATAAACATTAGATCAATTTGAATTAGGCCCTCTCGTCTCACATTAGGTGTTAGCAAGTTGAGAATAATATTGACTATTAAAGAAATGCATCACAAGCCCATTACTTCGTACCACTGGTGACAACAGTCGGGTTGCTGTAAAGCTACACAGAAAACGCAGCACGGAAACTCGCATATGTTTAGCGTCAGTTGCCACTTGTTGGGTGAAAAGTGAAAAACCCCCTGTTAGGGGTCGTGTCTCTGTGATTCTGATACACATTCAAAACTCTGTTCTGATCGGTAGGCTTTCGGTCTTGGACTCTAGCCATTCCGTTTGCCGGATACGACACCACTCGACCGAGAGTACTCTAGACTCAAAAAATTCCTACGAATGGCCAGTGTATTCAGACGGATGTTTGTAGTGGACTACGGTGTTTCAAGATGTATACAGACAAATAACTAGAGAACCCTGGAGAACTGATGAGCCAAATGGCCGCACCAAAAGTTATACGGTCGGGCATCCAACCAGTAGCGACAAATTATCTTTAAACCTAAGGGAAGTGAGAAAGGATGTCCGAAGTAGTCATCTAGTAAGCTAACGCAATATACAAATTACAAAATTAGGATAAAACAAAAGTTAAATTTCTGCAAAGGCTTTTCGGGGAGGTATTCGAACATGCCGGACAGTCCAGTAAATGCATTGGTGGCGAGCTTGAATGAGGTTTCAAAACCAATTCTAAAAAATTGAAAAACATTAGAATCTCAGGAAGGTTCGTAAAAACAATTCGTGTTCAGCTCGAGCCATGTGACCACGCAGGATATTCGGAATTGGACTGTGCGTGCCACCACCGTCGCCAGATTGGATGAGCGCGAAACAACTTGATCAGATTTTTATTTGATGTTGCATAAAATTTAGTTAAAAGAGCTGGGGCCTGAACATCCGGGTCTAAATGCTGATAGAGACGTCCTTTGCTGCTCCCAAGGCAAGGTTGGTTCGATAAGCGAGCACCTGGCCAAGGCGGAAAATGATGTCCCGGTCGAAGGCAGAAGAATCCCTTATGAGAATTGTATCTGAATGGAGGAGTTAGAAAACCAATGGATAATGGTAAATATACGGCACAGACAAGTAAAACGCCTAGCTGTGGGAATCTATGGCGCTCGGACTTACTCCAAATAGGTGGAATAGTTGAGGATAAATGGCAACCGAAGAAATTCTTGTATAACTCTGAGTGTATCTGCTGGTGCCCTCATGAAGTGATCGGCGTCAACGGGGAGTATCTGAAATTACCAAAGAAAGAGAATAAATGAGTTGGTTGGAAGGGAGTTTAGAAGGACTGGAATGGCAAAATATAGTGTGGGCCACACAGTATACATATGCTGAAACTACTGGAACTCGCTTAGTACAAGAACGAAGTCATGCACAGACATATTCAATTAGCTGCAATAGACGTAATCCCCCAATCAACTTCGGAAGGGAGAAATTGAATACAACAACTTCATGTACAAGGACCAAAGGGCAAAGTGAATTCAGTCATACCAGAGGAGTAGTCGTGATGTGGAAGGGGGAGTAGTTTGGCAATTGTGAATGTCGTGCACAGCACACGGTCGAATTTGAGGGAATCACAAGACATGAGGAATGTTTTTAACTTGACATCATTTACATCGACAGTATGACATCAGTGTTCAACACCGATGCTTCACTGCCGTAGTTAACTTGAAAAGCCGTGTGAATGTGCACGATAATTAAAAGTGTCAGACTATTCATCTGTCCTTGATCTATTCAAATTATATTCTCTTGGGTTTGTTACTTATAAGCCTCACTGAAGAATCGTGAAAAGTTACGGCCAACGGCTGATAACTCTTACGTGGCCAAACTGACCGAAAAGTCCCTCTGAACCAATATCCGACTTTGATTTTTGTCTTTTTGATCGATTTTTTCCACTCCACCAACAAGAAGTTTTCCTTCATCTACCGGTGACAAATAGGCTTTGCTATGCAATGACTTGTTTGTTTTAATGAAACCACTTTAGGCTTCCCACTACAATTACGCGCGTCCCTCAAGGTTTGTATCTGTGCTCCATAACTAACTCACCTCCCATCTCCTCGCTTCCGACTGAGTTCTTCACCTCTCAAAGAAGCTCAACACGTAGGTCACTTTCCCAAACCTTGTTTCTCACCTGTCTCTGACAAAAATCCTCCACTCTCCACTATCCGTATTCCTCTCAAAGCTCGATGGAATGTACTAAGAAAACAATCCCCAAATGGCCTGGCATAAACGGCTTCCTGAGCCGAACACCAATATGGATTTGGGTACCATCGTTCTGATGGCTATAGCCTACTGGTGTACTATCAAACTAACGGTTATTTAAAATCAATTCGCTTGGAAAAACAAGACGTACACTGGAGTCTCGAAGGCTTTCGATCGAGTATGACATGACGATATATGATCACCGACGGGAAAACGATTCATGGGCGGCGCCTGTTGAAAATATGTGCACTAAAACCTTCAGAAACAATACACTTTGCTCACTCTCTACCGAGCATACACAATGACTTAAACCAGACGGCTGATCATCATCATCATCATCATCAATGACAGCAACATCAGTGTTGGCACTGATGCTTCACTGCCGTACAACCATAAAGTTCGTTTAGTTATATATATAT